GGTGGGGGGGGCGAAGAGTCATCGATCTTCTCGACAATGGTATCGGTGGGAACAGGTGTGTATCTTCGCTTCGATAGAGAATTGGATAACAGATACATGACGCGTAAATTGTATAGTTTCCTTGATAAGACGGCGTGCGCATCTTTCGCCGATACATGCATTCGAGAGATAATGATTAATGTGAATGACGCATATGATGCTCGCATCGAAGTCATCCTGTCACGATGATGAAAAGATGTCATTTTTGACGAAACGTTACGGAGACGTGCGCAAGAAAACTCGTGAAAATCCCACTGCGTCAATTTTCCACGAAAGACACAGTAATCTTATAATTGTACGTCGCTTTACGTTGTCCACGCGCAGATGAATATCGGACGAACGTCAGACTTGGAATGTGTATGAAATTGATTTGCGCGACCGGTATCGCTTTTCGTACCCGTTCCCCACACCGGTAATTTTACCGATAACCCGGTCACGAACTGTTGCTGTGCTGATATCGATTAAAAATATCAATGAGATATTGATATACTTGTCACTATTCCTCTTGTATCATCCATCCGTACGATAACATAAACCGCAAACAATGCTTCCTGTTACAATGTCCTTAAAATCGAAATAATATATCGTGTGTATCTTTGATACGATTTTATCTGCCGTTATTCTTAAAATTCATTGTTGAGGTCGCCGAACTGTTCTAAAGAGAAAGCCTGAGACACAATGAAATATGAGAATAAGATATGCGAAAGGAAAGATATAATTAATATAAAAATCCAACTCTCATTATAAATAATGATAGAGAAAAATATATATTGTATTATTTTTTGATATATATATATATATATTTATTTATATTCTAATAGCAATTCATAATTTTAACTGATTATAATTTTATTGCCTCGAGTTTTCTCTCATATCTTTAGAAGGACATCGATTGAAAAATTCTTGCATTTCCCATCAAATAGACCTTGACGATAAATGAATATCTTCATTTTTGCGACTCTTATATCATCGTTGTTCACTTATTATGATGTAATCTCGCTGATCTAATGCCACGGTCGAGACTTGTCGAGAATAAGGAAGATTGTTAGGACGTGCATGATTTGGAATGCATAGAAAGGATAAAAAATGCGAAAAATAAACTACGTTTCCGCAAACTTTGAAGTATCGCGAAAATAAAACAGACCCATAAATAGACGTTAAAAGCTTTTCAACTAATAACGGCGTAGACACATTATCCGCGACAACAAATGCAGAAAATGTACGTTGTATCAAGAATTATACAACTGAGTGTGCTCGAGATACGTAATATCTATGTCATTGTAGCTGCCGTTGCGACCTAGTCATTTATCTTCAAACATTGAACGAATGATATATGGAAACGTTTCACGTGTTCTCTCCATTAAGTTTTCAATCGTAACACGTTTATACATGGCAATTTTTGATCATTCGTTAAAAAAGTGAAATTCACACATTTAATATCTTCGCTGCCGGACGCCTTATGCTTTTTTTATCCGCGCAAAGATTTTATTATTATTATTATTTTTTTTTTCTATAACTCTCATAGAGCTTTTATGACTCCTTTTTTATTTCAATTAATTTTCTACTGTATAAAAATTATATGAGACGTCATTCTTTGTCACTGAATATAATACGCTTATCTTCTTTTATACTGCTTTATAAAGACTTTGTTTTATTAATTTATCTGGAACAATACGATGACGAGCTTTGAGATACGATGCGTCGCATGAGATCTTCAGACTCTTCATTCTTGAATATCAATTTATCGCGTTAATAATAATATATAAATTGTCAAATTTATTCTATGCTTTCATGATTGTCGGATAATTAACTTGAACTATGAGGCATAAATAATTCTATATATTTAACAAAATATAATAATTAAAATATATACGGTTATATATTCGCCGCTAAACACAACGAAGGAATTAAGTGATCAAACGAAATAATTGACTGTACATTACATAATTTGAGACTTTGATTCAATGGACATTTTGAACCAGCGAACATCTGAATTTTCGTTTCTCCGAATCGCGTTCAGCCATCTGCAAATCCAAATGTCACCACACACGCTGGCAAATCACTGCTACTGAATTAGCATAATCTCCTCGTCTGCGTGTTACGTGCGCGTTGTGCTCGTACGCGTGGTAATTCCTAGTCAAATGTTTCCGTTACAAGTAAAGCCGTCCGGAGTTTAACGTTTCGTACATTTTAGCGTATATTAGAGACGCGCAATTATCTCGATATATACATATAAATTGTCGCGCATAAAATATTGCATAGATATTATACATGGTATGTAATACGACGAGGGATTAAGAATAAGACATGAGTCAAACTAACGCATTATTTATAATTCCACGTGCATCGATATTTTTATGGCGCTACTCGTTGCTGTTCCTAATAGACGACTGATGAATTAACATATGTATTTTTACTTATGCATATACGGCACGAAGCATGCATCGCTAAATTAATTCTTTTAAACTCTTCATCGACTTGTTTACGCGCGTAGAACTTGCACTAAACTCGCAGTCGTCGTATATTGAAATAAATAAGTTAATAGTAAAGAATGAAAGAGATGAGAGAGAGAGAGAGAGACGATCTTTAGACAGACAGAGAAAGAAAGGGAGAAAGAGATGAGAGAGACAGAAAAAGAGAGGGAGAGAGAGAGTGCACAATTACTGAAAATAGAATTGTTAGTATCGGAAAATTTGGCATTAATTACATGAAGCGTGAAAAATCAATGTAAATAAAAGCCAATGATATCTCAATCGCGCGACTCTTCTTACTTATTGGATTTCTTTTTCAGCTTATGTAAACACGGATATCGTCAAGTAGTGGCATCGCGGCGTGTATCGATCTGTGTGAATATGTGTGACGTCTCGCGAGATACACATATGGTGTCGCAATCGGACGGGAGAGGTGAGGACGAGACGAGAGCGTGCTGCGCGGACAGAATCTCGGAGACAAGGAGAGAGGAGAAGGAGAAACACAGAGGCACCAGGCTACAGCGGGCAAGTAATGACCCATTGTTTCCTGCAAAAAGCCTTGACGATGTTATCGATAATTGCAAAATGATACGGGAAGCATAAATACATATCCGAGAGCGAGCCGTAATATACGGCTGTTCTAATAGCGGATGCGTATCGATAGCTGCCGTCTGGTGGCACATCCTGCGTATTTGTCACGTGGACTTCACACATTTAATATCTTCGCTGCCGGACGCCTTATGCTTTTTTTATCCGCGCAAAGATTTTATTATTATTATTATTTTTTTTTTCTATAACTCTCATAGAGCTTTTATGACTCCTTTTTTATTTCAATTAATTTTCTACTGTATAAAAATTATATGAGACGTCATTCTTTGTCACTGAATATAATACGCTTATCTTCTTTTATACTGCTTTATAAAGACTTTGTTTTATTAATTTATCTGGAACAATACGATGACGAGCTTTGAGATAC